TTGCCCATAAACCTTCTGATGAAAAAAAAAGCTGAAAGTTAACAGATGAGGACTATGGCCACTTGCCCAGGAAAGATGTGTGTGTGTGTGTGTGTGTGTGTGTGTGTGTGTGTGTGTGTGTGTGAGAGAGAGAGAGAGAGAGAGAGAGAGAGAGAGAGAGAGAGAGAGAGAGAGAGAGAGAACATTAATCACTAGCATGAAGTTCACATCAGGAATTACCTTTGAAAATGGTTGTTTGGAGGCTTGAAGAAGCGGTATGGATTTATGAAACTGCTAGATGTAGAAATGATTCCGCTTATCAGGAAATCTCCTGGCTTGTAGTAATTAAATATGTTACCTCCCTCTTTTTGTACGTTCAATGGACATTTGGATATCAGCGTGCCACATGGAAAATGAGACACCAGAAGAAGAAGCATCAGCAGTATTTCAGATATCATAATGGAGAACTTCTGTCATTCTCTGAGACAGGCACCCACTATATTTGGCTTCAGAGCTGTCTAAGAAGAAGCCCAGTTCTCTAGGCAAACAACACAGATCCACTGAGTTGGTCAAGCAAGATAAAATTTAATCTGGCACATTAAAAGGGCAGCATTAAAATACAGACCAGTACAGTATGCCTACAGGAGTCTCACCATGTGTTCATCGTCCTTGAGGCACTTGTGGACCAGAGCTTCAATTTATTATAAGAATTACAAAATATTTGAGAAATCTGTGGATGAGGGTTACTAACTTCTACCTGGTTTCAAAATAACTGTGGGTGAGAGAGGTCCACTAGCCTTTAGTGGAAGATGAAGTAATCATTGTGATTTTGATAATTATGAAGGGATTTGGGAATCACAGTTGATTCTCTGTATGACTTCACTTACTACTATGCAAGAGAGGAAAACCTTTGCATAATGTATGGACATAGTTTCAATTTAATAGTCAAAATAACAACTCAGGAAACTTGTTCCCATTATTCAAGAAACTTACTCTGGGGAAGCAGAATATCTGGTCCTGTTATATTTGGGTTTCTCATTGAGTCACAGCACAGAGAAAGCACTGATTGTCCCTGTGAATTAACTCTGCTGGACACTGAACCTCTGGTGGGGTATTCTGCTGGATCTCTCAGCAGCTTTCAATATTGAATCACAATATACAGGTAGTCCTCAGCTTACAACAGGTCATTTAGTGACCGTTCAAAATTACAACATCACTGAAAAAAGTGATGGTTGCACTGTCCCAGAATGATATAATCACCTTTTGCAACCTTCTGGCAAGCAAAGTCAATGAGGAAGTGAGATTCTCTTAACCAAGTTACTAATTTAAGAACTGCAGTGATTCACTTAATTGAATTGTGGCAAGATAGGTCGTAAAATGGGGCAAAATTCATTTAACAACTATCTCACTTGGCAACAGAAATTTTAGTTGAGGATTATCTGTACCTTTAGGGCAATTGAGAGGGTGGGGAATGAATTTTCCCCTCCCCCCAAAATTATCAGGTTCCTCTACTGAGTCAAGTCTCTTGTGATTTGCAAATACAGAGCGCCATGAAAATTCTTCCTCACATTTCTCCCTATGTGAAGTCCCACACAACTCACTCAAGGAAACTGAGAATAATGTTGCTTCTCATATTCTAAACTTTGTAATTAAATTACAAAGTTACTATTGCAACTGAGATATTTTTGGGAAAGAAGTTTTGAAATTATGTCTTAATAAATTGAATAGATTTTTAGCCGGCAAAAAAAAAAGTTATTGATACAAAAGAGTATCAATCATTTCCTGATGGAAATGAGCCCGTCTCTTTTCTCTCCTAATGCAAAAGAGAATTCTTCCAAATGTTCTGCTTAATTCAAAACATTATGTACTTGAGTAGTGCCTTCATATCGGCACTCAGTATTTTCACATTAACAATCAGAAGAATCTAGATTGTCTGCAGAAAAGAACGTGAAACAAAGCAACTCACACAGAGCCCTCATCGTCAATCAATCAGAATAGAGCTGGAATGGACCTTGGTCCAACCCCCGGCTCAAGCAGGAGACCCTATACAATTTTTGACAAGTGGCTGTCCAGTCTCTTCTTAAAGACCTCCAGTGATGAAGCACCCACAACCTCTGAAGGGAAGCTGTTCCACTGGTTAATTGTTCTCACTGTTAGAAAGTTTCTCCTTAATTCCAGGTTGCTTTTCTCTTTGATTAGTTTCCATCCGTTGTTTCTTGTCTTGTCCTCTGGCAGTTTGGAAAATAAGTTGACTCCCTCTTCTTTTTGACAGCCCCTCAAATACTGGAATACTGCTATCATGTCACCCCTAGTCCTTTTCTCTAGACTGGCCAAACCCAAATCCTTCAACCGTTCTTCAAATATTTTAGTCTCCAGTTCTTTAATCATCTTACTTGCTCTTCTTTGCATTTTTTCCAAAGTCTCAATATATTTTTTTTAATGAGGTGACCAAAACTGGATACAGTTTTCTAGGTATAGCCTTACTAAGGCTGTATAAAGTGGTACTAATACTTCACATGATTTTGATTCTATGCCTCTCTTTATACCACCAAGGATTATATTACCCTATTGCTGGCTCATGTTTCAGTGATTGTCCAAGGTCCCTCTCACAGCTACTGTTATTGAGTCAGGTTTTGCCTAGTTTGTACTTGTACCTTTGGTTTTTCTTGCCTAAGTGTAAAATCTTGCTTTTCTCCACATTAAATTTTATGTTGTTTAATAGGATCCATTATTCAAGTCTGAACATGTCTTCTGGGATGTTGGCTATCCCTGCCAGCTTAGTGTCATCTGCAAATTTGATGAGTTCTCTTTCTATTCACTCATCTAAGTCATTTATGAAAATATTGAAGAGTACTAGGCCTAAGACAGAGCGTTGTAGTACTCCACTGCTTATGTCCCTCCATGTAGTTGTAGTACCATTAAGAATTATTCATTGAGTGGTTTATCAGCCAGTTACAAATCCACCTGGTGGTGATGATATCTACCCCATATTTATCTAGCTTACGAAGAAATAGTATACTATGTCCACAGCATTTTGCTGGTATACTAATTTAGTCACTTTGTCAAAAAATAAAATAAGATTGGTTTGGCATGACCTGTTTTTAACACACCCATGCTGGATCCTAGTTATAGCTTTATTTGTTTTGAGATGTTCACAGATCTGATTTTTTATTATCTTTTCCATGATCTTCCCAGGTATTGATACCAGACTCATTGGTCTGTAGTTTCCTGGGTCTGGGGTTTTATTTTCCATCATTTTTTCATCATCTCTGACAAGAGATTTGCATCTCATCTAAAAATTATACTGAGGAAAGCTCCTTGATAAAACATCTCTATATTGGTTTCAGAAACTTGTGGAGCCTGGATTGTATTTACTTGGTATTTTGGTTATTCTGCTGCTTTGAGTCACCCTTTGTAGTGAGTAAAAGGAGAAAAAGCAATTCAGTTTTGATTTTTGAAGGTCAGTTCATATGTCATGGGGGGTTGACGAACTGACCTAGTTGCTGATTTTGGAGAAAGCAGTCCCACTGGGCCAGCCTAGTATGTAGGTGTTAGGGACTAGAACCCTGAGGGAAACACATATCTTCATTCTGCTCTTAGGGACTAGAACCTTGAGGGAGACTCATATCCTGATTCTGCTGTTAGGGATTAGAACCCTGAGGAAGACTCATTATGCTGGTCTAGCTTAAAATTTGGACCAAGAGTAGAACAAGGAATAAAATCTGTGCATATTGACAGAGTGAATGAAGTGGGTCCATTCCTTACCCCTTAGTTGATCTAAGATGAAATAGAAAAGATGGCAGATTGCTTTGCTTTTGAGGACAAAAATAAGTGCTTACTTTGAAGGGATTTTTTTTCTGATGTTAACCCTATACTGACATATCAGCTGGTCAATTATATTCACCAAGTTATACAACTGCACAGAACTTTTTATTAGATCTATTGTTTGTTGCCCTATTCTTTTTTTTCCTTTCCCCAATAACAAATTGTAGTATTACACTGTGTCTCTTTTTGTTGTATTCTTTTATGGTAAATGCTGGTGAATGACTGTAAAAAATATTTTATTTCATTTGGTTTTATCATAGATTCGGGAAAATGGAACATCACGTGAAAGCAGCAGGAAGAAAAGTGTCAACCTGCATTTTATTTGCCTGGCATTTTTGTTATTCTGCTTCTGTGAGCCAACCTTTGTAGTCAGTAAAAGGGGAAAAAAGCAATTCAGTTTTTATTTTTGAAGGTCAGTTCAGTTGTCATGAGGGCTGATGAAGTGACCTGCTTGCTGATTTTGGAGAAAGCAGTCCCACTGGGCCAGCCTATTATATAGATGTTAGGGACTAGAACCCTGCAGGAGACTCATTATCCTCATGAGGCTGTTAGGGACTAGAACCCTGAGGGAAATGCATTTGGCTGGTTTACCTTAAAATTTGGTGAAACAAGAGACAGAGGATGGAGGGAAATTGGAAGGATAAGTTAAGTACCAAAAGTAGATGTCACTTCCTGATTGGATAAACAGAAAACAAAAATACTTGTTAAGATTATGGCTTTTGTATATTATAAAACATAAAATATGTCTTAACATAGGTGACCATAACAAATCTTTTAAAATAAATGAACAATTAAAAGAAATTATGTTGAGCTATGGAATGTTTTTGAGAAATGACAATCTGACAATATCTCTTTGTCCTTTTAAAAAATTTACACAAGGACTCAAAGCCATACTCTGAAAAAACCAGAGTTAAACAGTATGATTTCAGATCAGTAAAGAAATGAGACAACACTGTACTCTCCTTTCTTATTTATTCATCTCATATATTCAATGGATATTGAAGAAATGTAGATTAGAAGACAAATAAAATGGTTTTCAATTGCTGGAGGAAACATCAATAACCTTCACTATGCTATTTATTGATAGTAAGATTTATCACATGGGAGGGAAAAAATTCTTTGAACAAATAACTGTTTGCAATGTCTTATTTTAACTTAGCAATAATTTGGATAAAATATAACTGCCAAAATCTAGATCACTCATTGTTTTTCAACATTAGATGCTCCTTCGCGTTCATATCAGGTCTCAGAATGATGATATAACATTTGGGGACAAAGATGCAGCCAAGTAAGCCGAGGCTGGAGGTCAGGATGGAGAAGATCTGCACAGCCACCATGTATTTTCCTTTGGTGCTCAGGTAGGCAGGGACAAAAGAAACCCAAACACTGCAGAAGAGCAGCATGCTGAAGGTGATCCACTTGGCTTCGTTGAAGCCACCTGGTAGTTTTCGGGCTAGAAAAGCCACCAAGAAACAGATGGAAGCCAGAAAGCCCAAGTAGCCAAGGGCAGAATAGAACATGATGACTGAACCTTCATTGCATTGCAGTAGGATCTGCCCTTTTTGGGAATATAAGTCAGAATCTGGGAATGGGGGAAAGATTCCCAGCCATATGAAACAGATGCCCACCTGAACACCAGAGCAGGAGAAGATAATGCAATTGGCCAAAGATTTCCCCAGCCATTTCCTCATTTTGCTTCCTGGCTTTGTGGCCAGAAATGCCATCACCACCATGATAGTCTTAGCCAGCAAGGATGACACAGCAACTGAGAAAACATTACTGAAGGCAGTTTGTCGAAGAAGGCATGTCACTTTCTTGGGTTGACCAATGAATAGAAGGGAAGTCAAGAAGGAAAGCAAGAGAAAGATCAGGAGAATATAGGTGAGATCACGGTTGTTAGCTTTGACTATGGGAGTTTCTCGATATTTAATAAAAATTCCTAGAACTAAGGCAGTGGTAAGAGACAAAAAAAGGGTAGAGACAGCCAGGATGAGACCTAAGTTTTCTCTGTAGGACAGGAAAGTTATAACTTTGGTGACACACTGATCCCGCTTCTCGTTGGAGAAATGGTCATCTGGACATTTTGCACATTGGGCTACATCTGGAAAACACAACTACTTTTAAATAGTGATTCAATGACATTCAGTACATCATGACCAAACAACCAGAAGCAGGATGTAGATAGAGCAATGAAGATTTTCTCTTTCTCTCTCTATTTTTAAAGAAATTATATTATTAGAATAATGAAATGCAAGGAAAAAATGCTTAATTACTAAGAATGAATAAAGTAGTTAATTATGTTTATGGAAACCATTTCTCTCTTTCCTTTTGTTATTTCCCCAAGCTGTAAGTAGAATAAACACACAAACACAAACACACCACTTCCACACATAATCTATTTGTTTCTCTGAGTGTGTGTGTTTTACTTTAAAGTGTAAAGATTCTTGCTGGCATCTGATATTAGGTTTGATTCATCTCACAACTTTCTGGTTAAACATCATGTTCTAAAGCTTTAAATATAACCTGCTGTTCAATGTGTTCCACATACGGGAGCTATTCTTTTTAAAAGTTGCTTACACTTCATCACAGATTCTGTAGTTCAGCGTTTTCAACCTTCACAACATTAAAACATGTACTTCAATTCCCAGAATTCCTCAGCCAGAATTCCCCAATTCCCTGAATTCCATGGCTCCTGAGGAATTCTGGGAGTTCATGTCCACATGACTTAATGTTGCCAAGAATCACTGCTGTAGGTATTGTCAAGTGTCATTGCTGCATATTCTCCAAATTGACCTCCCAATCTGACATCACTGCCAAAATATCTATTTTTCCAATTCTCTCCTAACTTTCTTCTTGCGACTGCCAGAAAAAATAGGGTTAGGGTTAGCATTTTTTTTATTATTATTATTTTGCTTTTTGAAACTATACCTATAAAGAATATTTGTGATTTCAGTTCATTTTGTATAGGATTTTCTTGAATAATTTGATGTATTTCATTCCAATGCTTTTGAGGTTTTTTTGCATAACCACTACAGATGATAAAGTGTTCCTTTTTCTCATGGCTTTTCCAACATTAAATGTTCTATTATTTGTTTATTTTGCAATTGTTGATGTAGCTATAGAACATTTGAAAAACATTTTGCAGCAATTTCCCCTTAAATTATAAGTTGGCGTGAATCTTCTGTATTTTTCTTTTTGAAAGCTCTTCTCATTTTTGTATTGTGCTTAATTGTTTGACATTTTGCATCCATTTTATCATAAAAATGTTTATTTTTTTCCATCTCCATGTTGTATTTCAAAAACAATTTATATATGGTTCTTAATCATAAATCTTGTTTTCCATATGTGTTTCAAATGCTATCGTGTTTCTTAAGGTCTCTCAATCTTTTTGAAAAATTGCTTGTTATTGTTTCAGCAACTTGTGAAAACATTCACAATGGTGAATTTTACCTTCACTGAACAGTTCTTGCAGTGTTTTTAGTCTGTTTCCTGAGTCTAGATGTAGCATATTGGCATATGAGAACAAATCTTGCTAATACCAGAGCTGTGGTGGCACAGTGATTAGAATGCAGTATTGCAGTCTAACTCTGCTCACAGCCTGGAGTTCGATACTGACCACCTCAAGGTTGAATCATTCTTCCATCCTTTCGAGTCAGTAAAATGAGGACCCAAATTTTTGAGGGGCAATATGCTGACTCTGTAAACTGCTTAGAGCATGCTGTAAAGCACTAAAGCACTATGAAGCAACATATAAGTCTAAGTGCAATTCCTATTGCTACTATATTAGAATAAAAGACTAGTGCTGCTTCTTTGTTCTTGAATTACCTACCTTCCTGCACAGAGATGGTTCCTTCCATACATGGAGAACAGTCATAGCAGCAAACTGGTTCTCCCTCTCTTGTCAGCTTGGTATATCCTGGGAGGCAACTTTCCATACACCTAGAAAAGGGGGCCTTCTGAACAGAAAGAAAAATCAGAGAAATATATGAATGAGGGGATTACTTCTAAAAATGGAAGCGAGCACCAAAGTGCGTTCATGAATTCAAGAAGGTACTTTCAAGATCTTTTTCCAAATACAATGAAAATATTTTTGTTTAGTGAAATTTTTCCACTAGCAGTTTCATTTCAGCAGGCTATAATCTCAGAGTCCCCTTAATGTTCAGAAAAAGCTGCTGACTCTCCAGTCCAATCATCATTATCCCGGGATTTTTCTGCATTTGGGCTTCAGATCCTATCAGATTCAGCCAACTGGTCAATGTTACAAAACTGTGGAAAGTCTAGTCCAAAGGTTGGAAAAGAAAGGGTTACTTCATCTTATCTTAGCAATTGCTAGAACATCATCTGTCACAACATTTCCTCTGCCTTCTTACAATATGTATTTCTTAGATCTCAATTTACTATCAACTCAGTCTCAAAGGAGACTCCAGTTCTAAAAAAACATTGAATGATTCAATAGAAGAAAATCTGTGTAACTCAGTGTTGAATTGTAAACTCCTTGATGCTCTCTGGTTTTAACTGCCTGTTTGCAGTTATTTCATTACTTGAGTAAATAACATTATCACTGCTATCATCAGGCACTGATGATGTTACTTAGTCGGGAAATTAACCAATGAAATTACCTGCAAACAAACAACCAAGCTCAGAGAACACCAAAGATTCCCCTGAATAAAACACCCTACCGTAAGTCCCTCAGTGTCAAAGGCCAGTTCCCTGGTTTATGATGCTCCTAAGTTTCCTTACGTGCTACAAGCAGCATTGGCCTAGCCAACAACATGTTTTCCATTCTACACCATTCTTTCCCATCGTAAGAAATAGATTTTTTTTAAGTATTTTATTAGTTTTCTATCATTACAATTCATTTGTGCTTAATGAACAATGTGTTGTCTGGGTTGATTTTTGCCTAGTCATATTGGTTAAATTCTTACTCTCTGCCCTGCTTTTCAAATCATTGATAAAATAAGTTCTATATTTGAAAGTATTCTGTATCTTCTTTTCCTTTGATTCTCAATGTGAGTCTATCCATTTCTGCACAGTCCAAAATGTTCTTCATTATTGCTTCTTTTAATTGTGCTATCTCATTTTTCCAGTGCAGTGCAAATACATGTAATGTTAAATATACATTTTGTTTATCAAACTTTTCTAGCATTATGCCTAGTAAAAAAAAAAAAATCAGGTTTAAAATCTACATGTTTTCCTAACATCTTTTTTCATCAAGTATGTATTTTAGTTCAAAAGTTTTTTATTTATTTATTTATTTATTTATTTCTAAAATTTATATGCCGCCCAATCCCAAGGGACTCAAGGCGGTGTACAAAATTAAAACAATAATATGACAATAAAACAATAAAATAAATACATTCATACAGTGTGTCCGATCATATCCTGCCCCCCCCCTGGGACATCAGCCCCAGGCCTGCCGGAACAGGAGAGTTTTAATGGCTTTCTTAAAGGCCAGTAGGGTGGGAGTAGTTCGAACCTCGGGGGGAAGTTGATTCCACCAGGTCAGAGCTACCACAGAAAAGACCCTTCCCTGAGGGCCCGCCAGCCGACATTGTCTGGCCAACGGGACCTGAAGGAGGCCCAATCTGTGGGACCTCACCGGTCTCTGGGAACTGTGCGGCAGTATGCGGTCCTGTAAGTAACCTGGCCCTATTCCATGAAGGGCTTTAAAGGTGATAACCAACACCTTGAATTGGGTCCAGAGACCCACAGGAAGCAAGTGCAGCTCGCGGAGGATAGGTGACATGTGGGCATACCTTGGAGTGCCCACAATCGCTCTCGTGGCTGCATTCTGAACAAACTGCACCCTCCGAACGCTCTTCAAGGGTAGCCCCATGTAGAGCGCGTTACAGTAATCCAGTCTTGAGATGACAAGGGCATAAGTGACTGTGAGTAAAGTCTCCCGGTCTGCTTTTACACATGTCCACCACAAGTGATAATATGTACTGGGATTTTGATTACATTTCCAACATTTGCTAGACATATTTTTAAACATTTTTGCTAATCTAACAGTAGCAATTTCAATCAAGAATCTTTTCAATCTCTCTGCTATTACTGAGGCAAAAAATGTATAATCCACATTTAATAATAATATTGGTCTATAATTTTTCATCTGTGTCAAATCTGAATCTTCCCTTCATATTAAAGTAATACTTGCTTCCATCCTCTAATAATACCTCGTTACACACTTTCTTCATTGGTAGGCTTAATGTATCTTGTAGATATTTGCAAACCTCTGCGGGTAGCACATCCGGTCCTGGTATTTTATCGTTTTTCTGCCTTTTTATAGCTTCTATGATTTCCATCATTGTAATTTTTTCATTTAATATATTTTTTAGGTTTTCTGATATTTTTGGTAGGTTTGCATTTTCCAAGTATTGTATCATTTTTTTCTCGAGAAATTCCTTCTACATCATATAATTTTTCATAAAATTCTTTGTTTTTTTAATTGCATCAGTTTGAAATTGTATGTCACCCTTCTCATCTTGTAGTTTATTATCAGTTTCTTCTCTCTTTCTTTTTTCAGTTTATATGCCAACCATTTTCCCAGCTTGTTTTTATTTTCAAAAAAGTTTTGTTTTATCCTTTTTATTTGTAGAGCCAATGCTTCTGACTCTATTAAATTTAATTTATGTTTCATTGTCTCCATTTGTCTTTTCACAATTTTCTTTTGTGGATGTATTTGTAATTCTAACTCCAGTTTCTTGAATTCTTCTCTGTTATGTTTTTTTTTTGTTCTTTTTAGCCATATATGTTATAGCTAATCCTCTAAAATACTGTACTTTCTGGCGTATAAGATGACTTCCGCAAGCATTAAAATAGGTGCCGAAGTCGGGGGTCGTCTTATACGCCGAGTTGTCTTATTTGCCGGAATATACAGTACGCTTTGGCTATGTCCCATACATTCTGAATTGATATTGTTTCCCTTATAGTTTCTTTAAAGAAAAACTCCATTTCCTTTATTGCTAATTCTACAAATTGTTTCTCTTTTAACAAAGATTGATTTAAAGTCTATCTTGATTTCTTCTTTACCTCTTTCCGGGTCAGCATTATTGGATTATGATCCACCCAAATGTTAGGTTTTACCTCAATCTCATATATATTAGTACTTAATTAATTCTAGGCCAAGATTTATGTCTAATCAAATAAAACATGTACTGGGTCTTTTTTGGGTTACTTTCTGTCTAAGTATCCTGTATGGAAATTTCTTCTGTCATTCTAAAAAACACCTTAGGGAGTGTCTTTTTTCCCCTTTCCCCTCTTTTGCTGTTTCTATAATCTAACTTTCTATCTACAATTGCATTAAAATCTCCTATCAAACAAATGCTTTGATGTTCCATTTCCAATATTTTCCTTTGTAATTTTTGATATAATTCTTCTTGTTTGTTATTTGGTGCATATATTGCTACCATCAGTATCTGGTTTTGATTTATCATTATTTCTACCATTAGGATTCCTCCTTCTTTATCTGAGTAGACCTGTTTGGATTCCAATGTCTCTTTTATATATAAAGTGGCCCCTCTTTTCTTTTGAGATGCTGATGTAAAATAAAGTTTCCCAATTTTGGAATATTCCAGCAATTTATAGTGTTGGTTTTTTATATGTGTTTCTTGGAGACAAATTATATCTATTTTTAGCTTCCGTAATCGTGCAAAAAATATTTCTTTATGATGGGATTTCAGTTCATTTATATTCATTGAGAAAATTCCACTTTCTTTCTCCATCTTCTTTACTTATATTTAGGTTTTATTCACCTAGTGGATAATTCCTGTCTCTGTTCTTTTATTACCTACTCTCTTTCTTGATCTGTGTTTTCTTTTTTTTCTTCTTCTTCTTCTCTTTGTATGGGTGTCTCTTCTGTTACTAACTTTCTCTGTATTTCATCTTCCCTATCCCCTTGTGGTTCTTGTGTTTTCTCTTCAAGAAAACTTCTGTATGTCTCATAGAACTCTGTTGCCTTAAAGATGGAGTCCAATCTATAAGTTTTCACATCCCAATTTATTAATATTCCCTCCAGGACCAACCATCTGAAATTCACTCCTTTTTCATTTAATTTTATAATCAAAAATTGGTAGTATTTTTGAGAATCTCTTATCCTCCTAGAGATCTGTTCAGAACCACAATTTCTTTTTTTTTCTATACATCATCATCTCATCTCTCACTCTCTTCAATATTTCATCTCTCATTGTTTTTTCACAAATCTAACGTGAACCTAGGAAGTCTATGTCTCCTTGTGTAGCTTGAGTTAATTCTATATACCTGATCCAATTCTCCTTCCATCTCATTTTTTTCACTTCTACTGCCTCAGCAAACAAATTAGTAATCATTTCTATTAGGACTTCCTCCTTATCTTCAGGTATGTTCTGTTCTGTTAAAAAGTGTGATCTTTTTCCATTTCCAGAATTATGATTGTATCTTCCTAGCTGTCAGTACCTCTTGGACAGAGTGCATGAATGCAGTCCGTCTTTCTTCTGTGGGTTTGGAGGGATTTCCTCAGATCAAATGGGCTAATTGCCATCTGCCCATGATCAACAAGGGTTTCCTCCTTTATTGTTGCCTCTCTGGGGTGACCTTTGGCCTTTTGGGGCTCCCTGGCAGAAGAAAACAAGCTGTGGGGTGTGGAGCTCCGCACTCCCCACATCTGTATCACTACAACGTCAAACCAGATATCCCTTATCATAAGAATAGATCTTTTGAGAGGACCAGGAGAAATAGTGTCTCCTTCAACTTGTCCTTTTAGCAGTGGTGACTCTCCATCTGAGTTAAAAGACTGATAAACCAAAAAATCACATGGATACATCGGAACAGGTGAACAATAAAACCCACATAGAGGCAGACTTGGTTACCTGGTTAAAAGATGTTGGCCATATGATGGCGCTCTCATCCACAGAGATCTTGATGTCTGAAGAGACTTCTTTTTCAACATTCCCAATTATCACCCCAGCAGCAGATTTGTTGGGAAATATTGCCCAGTCCATGATATTAAAGTCAGCAGTGGGAATTCCATACTCATTCAAATAAACGTCATTTACAGAAAAATTGTAAATCTGGAAGTTTCTTAGAAATGGATGGAGCTGAAAAGACATGGAGAATCACCCTAGCAATGTATACATTCTCATTTGAGCAATAAGTCAAAACAGAGGTACTTTATCCTAATGCTTCTCTCTGCAAATGTGGTAGGAAGAGTATATTTTTCACTTTAATTACATCTCTCCCTCTCTTTCCCACTCCCATTGTTTCTTCCAGGCTCTTTCCACTCTGTCTGTCTGTCTATGTCTGTCTGTCTCCCCTTCTCACATACATACAGATCATTTTAATTTATTATTTTAGCCTGCTCTTCTTTATGACATTTGTAAGCTCAGATCCCAAACATGTTGTGCAACAATGGTGGAAGCTCAATAGAGCATGATGGTTATTGTCACATCCTTGTTTTTGTTAATTGCAAAGTCATGTCCGACCCATCGTCACCCCATGGACAATGTTCCTCCAGGTCTTCCTGTCCTCTACCTTCTTCTGGAGTCCATTTAAGTTCACACCTATTGCTTCAGTGACTCCATCCAGCCACCTCATTCTCTGTTGTCCCCTTCTTGTGTTGCCCTCAATCTTTCCCAGCATTAGGCCCTTCTCCAGTGAGCCCTTCCTTCTCATTAGTTGGCCAAAGTATTTGAGTTTCATCTTCAGGATCTGGCCTTCTAAAGAGCAGTCGGGGTTGATCTCTTCTAGGACTGACCAGTTTGAACGCCTTGCAGTCCAAGGGATTCGCAGGAGTCTTCTCCATCATCATATTTCAAAGGCCTCAATTCTTTGTCGCTCAGCCTTTCTTATGGTCCAATTTTCACATCCATACATTGCAACTGGGAAAACCATGGCCTTAACTGTATGCACTTTTGTTGGCAGGGCGATGTCTCTGCTTTTTAGTATGCTGTCTAGATTTGCCATAGCTTTCCTCCCCAGGAGCAAGCGTCTTTTAATTTCTTGGCTGCAGTCCCCATCTGAGGTGACCTTGGAGCCCAGAAAAATAAAATCTGTCACTACATCCATTTCTTCCCCATCCATTTGCCAGGAATTGAGAGGCCCGGATGCCATGATTTTGGTTTTCTTAATGTTGAGTTTCAAGCCAACTTTTGCACTCTCCTTCTTCATCCGCATTAAGAGGCTCTTTAATTCCTCTTCACATTCTGCCATTAGAATGGTATCATCTGCCTATCTTAGGTTGTTGATATTTCTCCCGGCAATCTTAATTTTAATTTTTTGATTCATCTAGCCCTGCCTTTCTCATGATGTGCTCTGCATATAAGTTAAATAAACAGTATACAGCCTTGCCAGACTCCTTTCCAATTTTGAACCAATCAGTGGTTCCGTGTCCAGTTCTCACTGTTGCTTCTTGACCCACATATAGGTTTCTCAGGAGACAAATAAGATGGTCTGGTACTCCCATCTCTTTAAGAACTTGCCACAATTTGTTGTGATCCACACAATCAAAGTCTTTAGCATAGTCAATGAAGCGGACGTAGATGTTTTTCTGGAACACCCTAGCTTTCTCCATGATCCAGCGTATGTTGGCAATTTGATCTCTAGTTCCTCTGCCTCTTCGAAATCTTGCCTGTACTTCTGGTAGTTCTCAGTCAACATACTGATGGAGTCTAGCTTGTAGGATGTTAAAAAGTGTAAAAAATGTAAAAACTGTCACATCCTACTGTTATTTATTCAACAATTGTGAAAAGAAACTTCCAGTCTCTTGAAACATCATATCCTAAGGTCACAAGCATCCTGAATCAGCACACCAGGTTTAATCTAGAAGATTCAGCAACACAATCTATTTGTTTGGTTAGAACAAATATTAGAAACAGGCAATTGTTGTTAGGTCATCCCCATATGATGATACTTATCTTTAATGTAACATTTAAGAATTGAAAGGGAACCATTAGCAACATTTTGAAGAAGCATTACCTGCCATGGCTGTACCATCTGGAGTGTCTGGTGGTCCCCAGCAGGCATCCTCCTCTTACTCATTTGGGAGGAAAAGGCAGCACTGAGGATCCTGGCCACAACCTGGATTGTTGTGGAAATACTGGAGCCATCCTCAGACAGGATTCTTCCAACAAGATCCGGGGATGGGATTTCCCAAGTCTCTTTTTCCAGGCATCTCTTCCAAACTTTCTTAGACAACAAAGGGCTTGAATAAGAACACAAAAATGCTGCCTTTCCAAACTTTCCTGTAGCAGAATAATGTGAATTAAAATCATAATATTGTGTCCTTTTCTTTGCCTTAGTTGAGAAGGATAATAAAAGATGGTTATGCTGGAGATTAACCAATTGGTAAAATAATCTCACATTTAAATCTGACAAAGCTGTAGCAATCCATACTTTTTCCTCAAACAGGATTTTTCTCTTTTCAATGTCTCGTATTAGCACTGCTAGTATTAATGAGGACTGAGAGTCCAACTGACAAACAATACTTTTCACTTTAGTGTCGCTAAAATATTCAAGGATGTCCTTTTCCCTCCCTTCTCTAATAACCATGGGTAAGATTTCTGAAAAGGCAACACAGACACCTTTCCTTACAGCTTCTGGCACAAAAGTTCTTCTGAACCGTTCTCCACTTTCATTGTCCGGAGCAGCGAGGCCGATCCATGTCCATCGGAAATGCAGGAGCAACTTGATAATTGCCAAGTGAGGAGGTTCTTGTTTTGGACTCACTTGGTAGAAAAAAGGGAAATGATGTTTCTGCTCTGGAATGTGGCTGATGACCCCATAGTTGATCTAAGATGAAACACAAAAGATGGTTGATTGCTTTGCTTTTAAGGACAAAAATAAGTTCTTATCTCTAAGGGATTTTTTTTTGATGTTAACTCTATACTGACATATCAGCTGGTCAATTATATTCACCAAGTTATACAACTGCACAGAACTTTTCATTAGATATGCTGTTTTATTTTCCTTTTCTTTTTTCCTTTCCCCAATAACAAATTGCTGTATTACAGTGTTTCTCTTTTTGCTGTACTCTTGTATTATAAAGGCTTTGAAAATATATATCATTTGATTTGATTTGATCATAGATTGGGGAAAATGGAATGTCACGTGATGGCAGCAGAAAAAAAATATGTCAACTGGGTATGTTTTCATTGTCTTTGTGCAAGTAGGGAAAAACTCTCTTAAAGTAACATTTGCCTATGTTATTTCCATTACAATCCTTAGAGATTTTGTTTGGAATTGGTTGGATTAAGGGTAAAAAGATGTTTTTGTCTGCCAAGACATGAGACTGCAGTGACCAGAAGACAGGGAAAAGAGGCAGAAGGGGGGGGGGAAGAGGATGCAAATTCCATGCAAAATATGGTTGAGAGCACTTCAGATGAGCTATGGGTGAAGATTCGTTCAGTTGGAAAATCTCTGTGTAACCTGTATATCTTATAAAAAAATCAAGATATGCAATGATGTAAGAATGAAGAAATGTATTTGAATGCCTGATGAAAATATTATATTTCAGGAGTCCTATAAGCTCTGTCATCTGACTCATTTTATTCATTATTTGACCCCTTTTGGATTATCAGTAGACTTTACAAAATTAAATTAGTTTCAGTATTCATTCCTACTTGTGGAATTTTGTAGATGCCTAGCATAGTTGAAATGGAAGTAAAGAGCTCCGAATCAGTCTCTTCAAGCACAGCCAGAAGATTATTTTGTCTTCCACAACTGAAGTTTGGGACATTCTCTTGCCCTGTAGACAGCAAGTCCATCATGACCTCATATGTTATCCTTGCATTGAAAAAGTTCTCATAGATGCTGTAGCCCAGGGTGATGTTGGGTAGCAGCTTTGGATTCTGGTTGATCTCATGAATGGCAAAGAAGAAGGGCAGGACATGACAGAAGCTCATACTCTGTATACTGCAAGATAAGAGACTGCAGTTGGTTTTCATCTTCAGTTCATAAAAACACATCATACTTCCTGAAGCTGTTCCTTTAAGGACAGTTGGATTGCTGTCTTATTAGTCTAGTACACAAATTTGACAATCTAATAATCTGAAATTAGTGATGGAATGCATCACCTTCTAATGTATCTCTAATGCTGTAGCCCAGTGTGACCTTTGGTAACAGCTTTGTGTTCTGGTTGACCCCATGAAGGAGAAAGCACGAGAAGATCAGATCAAAAACTCACTCCCTATATTGTAAAGCAGGAAATATTTTCAGAAATTCATTCCTCAATAAAATAATGTGAGATATCTGTATCATTTTTTGGACCATGCCAGGTGATTGACTTCTTTGGAACTTGCTATTAGAAGCACAGTCTTATTGACCACAGAGGACCTTCTTTCCAATGGTTTTCTTCAAGCTCAAAATCATCCCAATTGGAAACTCTAGACCTGATCCCAACCCTTATTTTCTCCAAATGGTGACTTAGAGATGCATTTTATAGTAATAAAATGCATCTCTAAGCAGATCAACTGTCTTAGCAACTGGATGCACTTATTTAAAATTCACTTTGGAAAATCATTTCCGTATTAAAAAAACAGGGTTCTGTTAAATAAGTCTCTTTATGTTGATTTGATTTCTAATTGGAGGAATATTTAAGTGGAATTATTCTGGCAAAAGTTTCCTTGTTATTTATTGTTTCTGCTTTGATGAATCAGTTTAGTTGAAAGGGTGCCTTAAATTCAATGAGGTAATTGTCTTTGGTTTTGGATGGGTTGCAATGCCAACTGTTTGTTTGCTTTTAATGGATTTCCTTATGTCCTTAGAGGAAGAACTAAAAGACTTTTCCCTAAAAATTTTTATCCTTGTAGTTGCTTTAAGTCAGCAGTGATATCATAGCCCTTAATAACAACAATATCATCCAAAGTATCGAATGATACTAGTGCCCCTTCTAAGACAGCTAGAAGTTTCAAAGGCTAAAGGGGGCCTCAATTTGGGAGATATAAAGTTCTTCTTTGACTGTGCTTGATGGGGAAAAAGGAAGAGCTCTCTTCTGGAATAATAACCTGGGAAGTGTGGCAGATTCTTCCTGTTATCTCCTTCTTTTTGTATGTTCAATGGACATTTTGTCATTAGCGTCCCACATGGATAATGGGATATCAGGAGAAGCAGCATCAGCAGTATTTTAGATATCATGATGGAGATCTTCTGTAGTTCTGTGAGACGGGTGCCCACTGTCTTTGGCCTCAGAGCTGTCTAAGGAGAAGCACACTTCTCTTGCCAAAGAACACAGATAGGCTGACTTGATCAAGCAAGATGAAATTTAATCTGGCACATTAAAAGGACAACATTAAAATTCCGACCTGTACATTTGTGCCTACAGGAGTCTCACCGTGTGTTCTTCATCAACCATGAGGTCCTTGTGAACCAGATTTTCATAAGAATTACTAAATATTTGTGAAATCCATTGATGAGGGTTACTAACATCTACCTTGTTTCAAAATAACTGTGGCTGAAAGAAGTCCCTTAGGCTTTAGTGGAAGATGAAGTAATCATTGTGATTTTGATAATTATACAGAGAAGAGGAAGAGGAACAAAAACTGCATATTGACAGAGTGAATGAAGTTGGTGCAGGGAAATTAGAAAAAAATTTACAGTAAATATGCAAAGCAGATCCTGACTGGATCAACAGAAAACAAAAATATTTGTTAAGAGCTTCAATTTTCAAGATTATAAAACATTGGCAAGAAACTAGGTTTCGGGCAAAGACAAAGGTTAAATATCTGGGGTTACATTGACAAGTAAAAAGTCTAAATTGTTTCAAAACAATTTTGTACTTGGAAAAACAATTTGGAACTCTGATTTTATATATGGTGACAGCAACAAAACTGGCACAAAAATGGAAGGAGGCTTCCATTCTCACCATGCAGAGAGAGAGAGAGAGAGAGAGAGAGAGAGAGAGAGTAGGGGAAGAGGACTGACAGACCAAGGGCAGGAGATAGCCAGCCCAATAAGAATGGTAGTCCCAGATTGTCTGAGAACAGCATGAAGCCAGCTTGCCAGGTGAGCAGAAGATTGGAGAGAGGGGGAAAGAGACAGAGACAGAGACAGAGAGAGAGAGGAAAGATTGAGGGGGGAGAGAGAAAGGCAGAGGGAGATAGAGAAAAAACAAGGGAGAGAGAGAAAGAGAGAGGGAGAGGAAAGAGAGAGAAAAAGAGAGAGGGAGAGAGAGAGGAGAGAGAGGGAGAGAGAGGAGAGGAGAGAGAAAAAGAGAGGGGGTGAAAGAGAGAGATAGTGTGTGTGTGTGTGTGTGTGTGTGAGAGAGAGAGAGAGAGAGAGAGAGAGAGAGAGAGAGAGAAACTCATGCACAGCACCCTCTATTTCTTTTTAATTAAACTCTTCAATCAAGCCCCCCCCCCTCCAGCAAGCTTGCATACATGCGCACATTTTGCAGCTCCCAGTGTTTTCTTTCTGTGGGAAACAGGTCCAAGTGGCTCTTTGAATGTTTAAGGTTGCCGATCCCTGATCTAGATCAACCCCCTTCTCAAGCAGGAGACCTATACCATTCCAGACAATGGAATGTCTATATCTCTGCTTAAAAGCCTCCAGTGAAGGAGTACCTACAACTTCTGAAGGCAAGCCTTACATTGGTTAGTTCAGGGTCCCCAACCTGTGGGCCATGGCCCACTACCAGGCCATGGCTTGCTGTCTAGCAGGCCACAGAAAAGTCTGGTCAGGGCACACATGTGTGCTCACCCCCATTTGCTCTAGTGCCTCGGTCACGGAGAAAACTGGGCACCGCGTGGCAAAAATGTCGCAGTGCTGGTGTCATGCGCAGGCTAGCACTGCCCCATTTGCATCATGCCTACTTGCAGCCCTGTTTGTATGTACACACAGAGACATGTGTAAAATGCTTCCCCCTCCCTTTCCCTCTGGTCCACCAACCAAGAAAGGTTGCAGACCCCAGGATTAGTAGTTTTCACTCCTTAGTTCTAGGCTGGTTTTCTCCTTGATTAGTTTCCATCTAGTGTTTCTTGTCTTGCCTTCTGGTGCTTTGAAAAATAGGTTGACTCCTTCTTTGTGGCAGCCCCTCAAATATTGGAACAGTGCTATCATGTCATCACCCCTGGTCTTTTTCACTAGGCTAGACATAACCAATTCCCACAAACGTTTGTCATATGTTTTAGCCTCCAGCCCCCTAATCATCTTTGTTTACCATCCATTAAGATCAGATGGTCCCATTGGTTTTGTTTATAGAACAATGAATGGCCAAGAGCAGAGCCTTCTCAGAGACAGCACCCCAAAAATAGAACTTTCTCCCAAGGAAAATATGAACAGTACAACCCTCACCTGTTTAGAGGCAACTCCAAACACACTGTTCAGCCAGGCATATGTAGAACAACAACAAATTTCATGGTCAAACAGCACTAATGAAATTACTACTAATATTTTTCTTTCTTAAAATATACACTTTTAATAGTTTTAAGCAGTGCTGGTAATGCTTTACAATAGTTGTATTTGAGGGTTTTCTTGTAAACCACCTGGATTTCTCAGAAACATTGAATTTTGAATTAGACATTGATTTAATAAATTAGGCAGAAGAAACAAATGCTTAAATACATTTAAATTCCACAGACCCACTGCCTCCTAGGTGCATACTGCAAAGAAAATAATGCATTCCATTTCTAGCCAGCACAAGGTTCCTGTGGTTTCAACACCTTCTATCATTTCATCTCTGTTAGTGAGAATTAAGACCAATATGGCTGCTTCCCTTTTCTACTTTTGAGGAGACAAAGTTGTCTGCTAGGTTTGTCAGGAACCTATTTGATCTTCCACTTAGTGCAGAGTTTGTCTTCCAGTTGATGTCAGGGTAGTTAAAATCACCCATTACTGTTGTGATATGCTACCTACATACCTTAGTTAACTGACTAACAAAAACTTCATCTACTTCCTCTGTTTGATTGAGTGGCCTATAGTATCACCTACAGCAATGTCATTTTTTCCCCTTTTATTATATTGACCCAAATGCATTCAAAACAGTTTTCATCATTGTTGTGATTACTACCTATCTTGGTGCGACACTCACTATTAAAAGCTTGATTTTGCTTGACAGCAAGGTTGATATTCTTACCTGCACAAACATCTATGTTACATGTACTGATAATCCTATTAGTTTTAGATTGCTGGGGACAGAAATGTTCTATATCAATTAACTCACTGTCCCTGTTGTTTAGTTTGAATGTTTCTCCAGAAAATCTGTGGATTTAACTCAATCCCTTTAGCTACATTTATTTATTTATTTATTTATTTATTTATTTAATTTTATTTATATGCAGCCCAATCCCAAAGGACTCAGGGCGGCGTACAAAATTAAAACAATCATCAACAATAAAAAAATAAAATAATACAATCATATAGCATGTCCGATCATATCCCGCCCCGCCCCCCCGGGGACATCAGCCCCAGGCCTGCCGGAACAGGAGAGTTTTAACGGCTTTCTTAAAGGCCGGCAGGGTGGGAGTAGTTCGAACCTCAGGGGGAAGTTGATTGCACCACGTCGGAGCTACCACAGAAAAGGCCCTTCCCCGAGGGCCCACCAGCCAACATTGTCTGGCCGACGGGACCTGAAGGAGGCCCAATCTATGGGACCTCACCGGTCTCTGGGAGCTGTGCGGCAGTATGCAGTCCTGTAAGTAACCTGGCCCTATGCCATGAAGGGCTTTAAAGGTGATAACCAACACCTTGAATTGCGTCCGGAGACCCACAGGAAGCCAGTGCAGATCGCGGAGGATAGGTGACACGTGGGCGTACCTTGGCGCGCCCACAATCGCTCTCATGGCTGCATTCTGAACCAACTGCAGCCTCCAAACGCTCTTCAAGGGTAGCCCCATGTAGAGCGCGTTACAGTAATCCAGTCTTGAGATGACAAAGGCATGAGTGACTGTGAGTAAAGCCTCCCGGTCTGCTTTTACACATGTCCACCACAAGTGATAATATGTACTGGGATTTTGATTACATTTCCAACGTT